TCTCTCTCTCTCTGGCTCTCTCTCTTTCTCTCTCTCTCTTTCTCTCTCTCTCTTTCTCTCTCTCTCTTTCTCTCTCTCTCTCTTTCTCTCTCTCTTTTTCTCTCTCTTTCTCCCTCTTCTCTGAGTACTTTATAAGATATGATAACATGTACATGTATCATGTTGAAATAATAGAAGTTCTCCTGATTTAAATGGGCTGGGTCATCACTAACCCACAAGGAATCTACTTGGTAATTTTTGGGATTCCATTTTTCAAGTTGACAGTCTTGGTGGTCTTTTCTGCAAGATATTAGCTGATTGAGTCACTTGTCTTTCTAAGGTTTTATGAAAATATGCGCTAATCTTGTCCTTAAACTTTCAGAATTGTGATAAATACAGCTGTTCCCCTAGAAAGCCATTTTGTTTGTGTTCTTTCACTTGTCTGATAACACATGCACGTGTCACCTTTACTGATACTTTTATTCTTACAGGCCAAATGTTACCTGTAAAACATATTTTGTCAAGAGAGACAGCCTTCAAATGTATTAAGCCTTACTCTAAACTACCCAGGGTGAAATTTGTTCTTGTGTTCAGTGGTGACTATTTTGCACAATGCACCACAGTTTTCAGCTTAAAAAACTGATGATTGTCAGCTTTTTGCTCTGCCTCTTGATTCTTATTGTGGATATGAGAAATTTAACATGAGCATTGAAGTGACAATCTGGTTGAAACTAGTGTACATAGTCATTGTGTGACCTAGCCCATTTACTGAGGGTACATCTCAGAACCATTCAGCCATTGTAGTATTCATTTTTAACCATGTGTTTACACTTTTTAATTTTAAAAAAGAAACGGCAACTTTGAGTTTAAATTTACAAGACATGTTTGGACATTCTCATGTCATCTTCAGTTGCAAATGAGCTTTTAACGGTTGTACATTTGAATTTATGTTAAGGTACGTTACAAATTACGTGTCAGAGCTTACGTTACAATTTGAATATTAAATACGCGAAAAATATAAATAGCGCGCGCTTGACTAGATCAAATAATAATAATAATAGAGAGCTTAAGCACCAGACGTTCTTGACAACACGAACGGCAGAGAAGCGTAAGACTAGATCGAGGCCTTCATTCTTGGCGCGAAATAGGAAGGTTAAGCAGTCGACGTTTTTCAGACACGGACTTCTACCCGTGTTAACATGTCTTTGCTAAAAGATGCTAGAGATGTGACCTTAATGAGCAAGGGAATAAGTTTCTTTACCCCCACTCTCTTGACAGAATGAATAATTCGTCTTTCATATTTATTAGGCGACTTGAAATTTACCACTTCATAGGTGTGTAAACAAAAACAAACGAGCGAGCATGAAGTTTTCAGGGCATGATCTGGATGCCTAGAGGACCATTTCTCTTTTTCTAAATTCGTTAACCACAGCGAGATTTGTTATTCTTATGTTTGTAGTCGGTTGCTCAAAACCTAGCAGGCATGCATACAATATACAGTGTGCATTTACAAAATACAACCGATGCAGAAAGACAATCATCTATCTCATTTTGCACTTTGTTATTGTATCTAAATGTCGCTTAAGTGTCTTAATTCTAAATTATCGCTCAAAGTAATTTGTGATAAGCTTAAACCCGGTTTAAAAAAATCTTAGTTCTGCATTTGATGATTCAAATGGACATGAAATCAAATGACTTAACTCACCCAGACTTGGCGAGAA